ATCTTCTCTCCCTGCCCTGGAGTGAGGGGCATCTTCACTGGGGATCCGGACTGTGTCTGGGTGAGCTTTTTAACATGGAAAACCTTCGATACTATACCCCTGAGAACGTGAGATTGGGGAAACAAAGCTTGGAGGGAAATACTCCGTTTCATAAACCAACGTCCTCTTTTTGGCTCTACCTACCACACTACTTCTCTACATCGGTACCCGTACATCCCGCAGGGGTGCCCGCTAGGTGGCGTTCGTCCTCTACTGTACCCAGGCCGGTTCGGGAGTCTGAACATTTCTTTATATACCTGAGAGGTGATTGCCAACGCTGGCTTTTTACAGGTAAGAAAACTAAGCTCCAAAGGGAAAACGTCTTCCGTGGGGATGTATGGCAGCATCTCAGAGCCTCGAGCATACCGCAGGTCCCCATACTTCGGAACTCAACGAGCTTCCAACACCTGCCCGTCTCCCTCTACACACGGTTTAGTTTATTGATTATCGTCATATTGGTGTGTTTCTTTCTACATAACAAGGTTTAGGGTCAGATCCTCAGGCCTTAGCATTCTTTTATTTTCAAAAGTACAAAACCAAAAAAATCGTTAGATTTGCCTGCCTGAATCTTTGATTTCCTTAAGTTTTAAGTTCCTTTTCTGATGAATGCATCACATAGAAATAAGTAAGGAAAACGATGAGAAACATTTAATTAGAATAAATGTGCAGGTTTATGAGGGAAAAAGTTTAGAGTAGAAAATCCAACTGGGTGGCATGAGACGAAGTCAGATTTGAATCCTGATTTAGCTGCTTACTAATGCTAAAGTCATTTAAATTCCATGGGTCTCAGTTTCTTCATCTGTAAAATGGGGATAATAATGTTTTCTACTCACTCCACCCTCAGAGTGATTAAATAAAACAGTAAGCTGTAGCTCTTGGCACATTGCTGGTGCACACCATTTATTTAAATATAAAACTACCTTGGCCCATAATAATGGTCTGATACACCTGGACCATGTGCGTGAAAAATTCTGGTGGGGTCTGGAAACAGATGACTCAGAAACCCAGGTGTCAGTGTCTGCTGGCGGGAAAGTGGCGGATAGCTTGACGCTCGAGATGCTTCAGATGCTTAAGAGTGCCCACGAGAGCTTGCGGATGGGGAGAGATGTTAAGTCCTAGGCGCGGCCTGCCTAGATCTGGCTCCCGCGAGGCGAGCTGGCACCGCGTCCCCTCTCTGCCTGCCAACTCGAGCAGTTCAGCAACGACCTCAGAGGGCACCGGGTACAAACCTTCGTTTTTAAGGACTGGAAACCGTGGTCCAGAGACAGCAGGTGACTCCGGTCAAGGCCGTCGGCGTCTGAGAAACCCGCGGGGCCTCCCATTGCAAAGCAGCCTCTGGCGGTCGCCCTCAGGCTGCTCTGGGCGCAGCCGGCGGTCTCCTCCCCGAGCCCAGGGCGCAGGTGGAGGGCGGCAGGCGCCCGGCGTGCGGGACCCCACCGGAAAATCCCAGCGGACTCGGGACCGGAGGGCGCGGGAGTGTGCGCAGCAGCTTGCGGCGCGCTCCCCATCCGGCCCCCTCGGCTCTCCCACCCCAATTCTGCGCTCCGCCGGCGGAAGCCTCACCTCCCGGCAGCCTTGCGGCTCTAGACTGTCCCGGGGGCTGGAGGGCGCGGCACGTAGGGGGCGCGCAGGAACCAGACTGCAAAGGAGGAAGAGGAGGTGGAGGGTGGAAGACGGAAAGGGAGGGGAGAAGACTGGGAAATAGCTGGGCGCGGGGTCGGGGAAGAAGGCACCAACGCGGAGCGTGCCTCCTCGAAGACTGGCCGGCAGCGGGGGCTCCCCGGCTCCGCAGATTCTCGGGGCGGGACCAGGCCGGAGCACCGCGCAGACCGAACCTCAGACGCTTGCGGCAGCCGCGGGTTCCCGGAGCTCGCGGTTATGTCCGGAGCAAATCGCCCTCGATGGGCTGGAAACCCTGCCCCGGCGCGCCCCCGTGGACGCGCCCCTGTTCCCACCTATCTGCAGCCCTGCGATATGCGGTGACCTGCTGAGTCCTCGCCACACACCCCCACTTGCCAGCCTCGACTTTGCAGGTACCCGAGGAAATTTCGGTGCATCAGACCACCTCCGCTCTCTGGCCCCAAAGCCTTTTCATTACCACTCAATCCTTCATTAGGTGCAGCTTCTAGTGGTAATTCCAGA